TATCAATTTAATAAACAACACTGTTGAACTCAGTTACCTTTTAGAGTGCTTTCATTAGCAAACTCACTGAACGAAAAGAAGTCATATTTTTTCACGAAAGCAGCTCTCATTTTATTCCATCTCCTATTATAAGTGGTTCTGTGACAACCAAGAGAACATGACAAGTTCACAGTGGCCCTACCTCTACGGACATTCTCACCGACTTCAACAAAACTCATATTATTGGCCTAACAAGGTAATTAGTCACAATGAACATGAAATTCTGAGAGCACGTCACTCACCTGCATCACGTAAGTTTTTTGTGATGGCTCCCAAGCATGTCGGAACACTTTAGCTAAACAACTAACGAAGTCAGTGTATATGCGTCTCAACCGAATGCCTGGTTCCGTAATTTGTACCTTGTATTTATGACATTAGTTTTGTTTTTTTATTGAGTGGTGCCTTAATTTGTCGAAGTTTATGAAAACATCAGTTCTGGATGCGGTTCATTCAAATACTGTACGTTACGTATAATTGTAGACATGTTTCCCCCAAATACAGGACGTAAGGGGGAAAAAACGACATTTCCCCTAAATAACCGACGTAAAAGCGAAAAAGCGACATTTCCCCTTTATTTACGCTTGCGTCCGCTTTATTTCCCCTTTTTGGGTTGTTTGAGATATTGTAAATTCCATGCTAGGTTTGGAACGGACTGTCTAGATAGCTTAGGTACGCGCTACTGCATAGTTGGAATCAAAATAAGGTAACTGGAAAATTAACGATCCTAAATTACATTATAAATATAAATGTACAGCATTATCCAGGCATATAAAACCACCCAGTTATTCACTCAGTAATCATCCAGTCAGTAGTCGAATATATATTACATTAGACAGATAAGTTGGTAAGGAATGTAAGGGAATTACCAAGTGCAGCAACTAAATGTTATTCTACCCTTTCTGAATAGATCACGTACAGATTCGTTTGAAAGATAATATTTAATTATGTTATAACACGGAGTGTTTCCAATTCCGGAAGAGTGCTTCAACTCACAATCAAAAATTACACAATTCCAGTCAAAGCAAGTAACACAATCGAAAGGGGGAGCTATAGCTCCCCCTTTCGATTGATTATAATCAATATGGCTACCGACATGACTATGTATCAACTAGAACAAAATAATTGTATTTCAGCAAAAACATGGAAATTCAGTAAAGGCATAAAAAAAAACAAGAACCACAATAAAATACAAATAGTACAATCTCAAATGGAATAAAAAAATCTAACAAAATATACATCTAAAGGAAGCAAGAGGAATAAATTGCAGGTGTATACGTGGAGGGATTTTTATACACAACCTTCAAAATGGATCTTATATATGGTATGCTACTGTGGACCATATGCTATATTTGGGAATTACTAATTACATATTATGTTTGTGTATCTAGTAATCGATTAGACACGCCTCACCTAGCAGTTGATAAGTGACACTTCAATTTTGTATATCATTAACCGATTCCACACATAATTATTGAATAACTTTGGTGACGTTTTAGTTAGTCATAAAACCGATGGCTAAAGAATGGGCAAACGTACATGTTAATTAGGGCATGATAAAATATTGTCAGACATAATCTGATGCAACGAACTGAATTATCAGAAATGCATATATATATATATATATATATATATATATATATATATATACATATATATATACATATATATATATGATTTCAGCCAGTCATCTTTTTTATATATTCTTGTCCTCGTATTAGAATGGTTCTACCTGCAGAACGTTCCAAACTGAAGAAAATATAGATCGTACAGAATCAGCCAAAACTGTTCTTAAGACACCTTACAGATCTAATGAAAAAATGAATACAGAAGGCAGAATTTGTTAAGAACAGTAACTTTAAAAGTAGGCAGAAAAAGAGAAAACTAAGACTACTCACCCGCATATCGAGAGGAAAAGAAACGTTACACATAGAGTTGCGAAATAGATTTCCACGATATCTAACCTAGAAATTCAGGTTAGCAATATTAATTAGTACAAATGACTAAATAACGAATATTTCAAAAACTACTTATATTCGGCAGTAATTTACGTTTAAAATCTATTGACAAATGTACTATAAAAACATACACTGTGAGCGCTTGATGTTGTTTAGTAGTGAACTACAAGTCTATAGATCAATAATAAGATTGCAAATACTCCACTTCCCAATAACATTTTCCATTCAAACTCAACATTGTTACATTATAGTATTTTCATTTTCAAATATATCAAACAACTTTATATTTATTTTGAAAAACGAAGAGACAGAGCATAAACATGGATCGAGTGGTTAGCTACTGAATAGTATAGACTGAAATCTGATTTCTTCCTGTATCGTAAAATCTGCTTCCGTTTATTTTTATTTATCTGACCTGATTTCAAAGTTCACGCATTTCTTGTTGAAAAAAAGATGATAAGGATTTACAATGTATATATTTCCGAATGTATTTAACAATAGTAACATTCACTTCATAGAGAATTCGTTACTAGTATCAGTAATAGAAAAGAGAGCTATTTCAGAATTGTTTCCGATGCCAGTCAATCATTTGGGAGTCATCTATGCATTTGAAATATCAAAAACGTCATAGTCAATGATAACATTGAAACCAGTTACTATACTGAATCCATTATGATAAAAGTCCAAATATCATAACCGAATGTACAGTGTAGTGGAGGACTAATCTACGTTGAAGATTGCTCCCAAATACCGTATACATTCGGCAGTATACTTTGTGAGGTTTCGTGACTTCAGATTTGTTTTCACTGGCTTCTATTGGGTCTTGATATGTCAGAATATTTACAAATATAATTTTCCTACTCATTCGTTTATGATATATTATTTTTATCTATAGCTTTCTATCAGGTTATCATTTAATTTGAAATTATCGAGTATAACCTTGGTTATGATAGCTTTTTTTGGCCTACAAATTTGCATTTTTTTGAGAAGTGTATCTATGTCTTTTGTATATAGCTGTTATCTTTCAATCTTTCTGTTCCGTCATGTTTAAAAATACTTTCCATAGTGTTATTGAAACTGGACTAATATAATTCTCCTTGATATCACAAGTAAACTGAACTGATAAGTAACATATAGTAAACAAAGGTGATGTACAGTTTTCTGTCAGCCTGCTGCCAAAGTTTAGCTCAAAATGGAATGCAGCTCAATGTTCAAATAGAATGTGAGCTTTATACCAGTTAATATCTACCATCAAAAATGCACAATACAAATAGAATTCATGGTATAAGCGCTAAGTGAAGAGGCTTCTAGAATGTCAAATAATTCCAGTTTTCAATAACTATTGCATCAATACATTGCATATGTGTTAATAGATTTTTGTGTGTAACGATTGTTTCGCAGATATTTTCAAGAGTTTAAAAATTTGATTCTCAACTTACTGATAGTAACTAGTATTTACAATTGGTGAAGTAGCACTTTGACCTTTTTTCCTGCTACACAAATATGGAAAACTCAAACATGGATTCATAGACGGCGTCAGCAAGACGTAGCTGGAATGTCATAGCTTTTGATTCGCCATTTACAAACAACAGATGGACTGAAGATCGTGCTGTCTGAATTTCTGGGTGTTAATCGTAATCCACCAACTTTAGCTAGAGTACCATTGAAAATAGGGAGCAACAAGCAGATGATTTGTTTTCGTATGGAAATCCCTGCTAGCTTGGTTCCGCAAACCTTTAATCTTTACATAACATTCATCATGACCATTACTTGAAACAACTGGATGATATATCAAGCGACTGGTTGGTCATACCACCTTTTTAAATCCATTAGATATATCAAGACATCTAGGTGAGACCATAATTTATAGACAACCTTTGAGCAACGCCACAATAACCTTGAAAATACCCACCTACTTTCTAGGGTTAAATGAGGATTATATATTAAAATTCACAGTTGGACGTTAGGGTTAGACATTAGATTAAATGTTTTCATCACAGTGACATCAGCTACAATGGCAAAATGACATTTGGTCAAAAGAGTGGGTGGATTTTGCGTCAAGATCCAAGACCTGAGATCTAAAATCCGATTGCTCCTTCTATAAATTATAGTCTCGCCAATATCTCTTCAGGGATCTGGATGATTGCTTTACTTTTAAAGAAAAAATGGCATACAAGATATTCAATAACCACTGAACTGCGTGTGTTTCTCTAGAAGGATAGTCCTTTATGTCATCATTACTGGTTGTAAATTACCACGAACTATTAGTTACGCTACGTTAACAGAGGCCTCCTGCTGCAGAGGCTGTTACTACATTGGCAGTCTCTACCTGCGCTTGTTTCTGTGCATGGGACAGAAGAGCCCAGCCATATGCAAAGTCCAAATCGACTCGTTGCATCCAAGATGTCAATTTTATTTCGTGCTTCCCCTGAGATGTGGTGTTCATAATCTAGTCAAAACTTCTACATCTCAGCGGAAGCACGGAATACAATTGACAGCTTGGATGCAACTAGCCGATTTGAACATCGCAGATGACCTAGCTCTTCGATCGGAAATTGGAGGCAGGCATCAACAGAAAGAATAAAGATTAGAAATAACTGGAAAGGAGAGGACAAGGCAAAATTGGCTGGATAATCCTGGTCGGCGTCCTAACACGCCTAAGTATGTAAACATGAGCAATAAACGAAACACCATACAATAAAATTATTTTTCTCCAGAAATGTCCCGAAATACATTTAAAATCTATTTGACAGTTTCACTTTGTTTTTTCGTGGAATAGATGATTGTACATTGATAATTAAATATGGAATTGATGAATCATATTCAGCCAAGAAAAAGTTAAACCGTAATTAATAATAATAATGTATTTAGTATTGGTGCAAGGTAATTCCATTGAGGCAAAGGAAACCAAATAAGGATTTCCGAACACTTGGTAGATTAAACGGTGGAATTAGTAGTTAGAATTATGACTTTTAGAAATTGACGCAAGAGATCCTTATATTCGAATTAAACTGGGACGCATTCTGTTATACCATTTTGTGTGATTAACTGAATGATACTTCCAGATTTAGGACGACTGTTAGCTTCTTCCAACCATGTAGCAAATAATCTATAAGAACAAAAGAGTAAGAAAAAATTTCAGTTTATCAAATGAAATCACATGTTCAAAGCATAATTTTAAAATGACACTAGTAATTCAAAACATCAGCAAAAAAGCATAAAAGTGGCTACTTGCGATCAAAGGATTTGTTTTGAAGTTAATGTTTATCATAGACTGGTATCATCTAAAAGCCGCGAAAACCACGAAACATTGGGCGACTACTTCCCACTAATTTTAGGCATCACAGAAATGTACACTCATGAACCTATCGGAAATATGAAAAATTTTTCAGATTTCGACGGCAGAACGATAAATTTAGACCAAATTAGGACTTAATTATCTAACGTTTCATCTTCAGTCAATCCTATATTTCTATTTAGATATAAATATATAACTTACTGTTTCCTTCGTGAAGGAACATAGGCCGCGTACCAGCATTCTTCATTGAACTCTGTCCTCAGCAACCCTTTCCATTTATTTCCAGTTTCTATTCATCCTCTTGATGTCTCCTGATTCTCAAAGCAATGTGTTTTTTGTCCTACCTCTTTCCCGTTTCCCTTCAGGATTCCAATTTAACGCTTGCCTCGTGATGCAGTTTGATGATTTCCGCAATGTATGTCTTATCCACTTCCAACTTATTTTCCTAATTTCCTCTTCATCTGGAAGTTGATTTGTTCTCTGCCACATCAAGTTATTGACGATAATATCCGATCGACGAACATTGAGTATCGTACCTGGACAACTGTTTATAAATACTTCTCCCTTTTGACGATGGTTGTAGTAGTTCTCCATGTTTCAGCTCCGTACAATAGGACTGCACTGACGTTTGCATTGAAGATTCTGACTTGGATATTGGTTGAGTTGTTTTGAGTTCCAGATGCTCTTCAGTTGTAGGAATGTTGTCCTTGCATTGATCCTCGCCTTTACATCTGAATTAGATCCTCCATGTTCGTCGATGATGCTTCCCAGGTACGTGAGTTTCGAGCACTTCCAGTACTTTTCCACCAAGTATGATTTGATTATTGTTCTCTGCGTTGTATTTTGGGATCTTGGTTTTCTCCTTGTGTATGTTGAGGCCTACTGCTGCAGAGGCTTCTGCTAAACTGGTTGTCTTCAGCTTCATTTATTGGTGTGTATGGTATAGAAGAGCTAGGTCATCTGCGAAGTTCATTCGGTCCAGCCACATTCTCGTGAAAAACAATTCCTGGTACCGACAGTGGTGTGATGCCTCTATGGTTCTCACATTTGCTCAGATCTTTCTTTGGTACCTTGACCAGGCATTCTTCTTTCCAGTCTGTCGGCGGCACTCATTCTTCTTCCCAAATCGTACCGAATAGATGCATCTCGGCAGTTACTTCAGTGTTTTAGCTGGTATGTTGTGTAGTCCTTCTGATTTCCCACTCTTAGTTTGTCTGATGGTTATGCTGACTTATTCGATCGTTGGTGGAGTGACATCTGTGGGAAGGTCTGTGTATGCTGCTTCGGTGTCCGGTGGATTCAATGGACCTGGTCTATTCAAGTTCTTCCAATTGTTCCACCCACCTGTTATTTTGTTCTTGAATTTCAGTGATTGGCTTTCCTTCTTTCTCATTGACTGATCTCTCTGGTTTACTACATTACCTTACCCGTTTCTTCGTCGTATCGTATAGTTGTTTCGTATTTCCTTTTGTTGCAGCTTTCTTCACTGTCGTTGCTAGGTCTTCCACGCATTTCTGCTTGTCGGCTCTACTTCACTTGCTTGTTTCTTTCTGTGTATCTAATTTGTGCCTTGACTTTCTCTGCTCGTGTTCGGTTGTTGTTAACTGCTGTCTTCGTGTTCTTCATTTCCTGAATTTTGTCCAGGGTTTCCATGGAGATCCCTTTCCTAAGATGACACTTTTTGCGGTCCAGAACCTCCTAGCACGTTGACATTAGTGCTCCTTTCATCCCTTTCCAATTGTCCTCCATAGTTTTTTTAGTAAATCTTACAAAACTTAAAACCTGTTGTTGAGAGTTATCTTGAATTCGTTGAGTTTCTCAGTATATCGAAGGAAGTCTGTATTGAACCTTTGTAATGCTGATTACCCAGTTGTTCAGTGCTTCTTTAGCTTTATTTTCATCCTGGCAATCACCAGTTGGTGGTGATCTGAAGCTATGTCAGCACCTCTTCTGGTTCTCATGTCTTCCATTGCCTTCTGACCCTTTTAATAATGCAGATATGATCGATCTGGTTTTCCGTGGTGTGGTCTAGTGAGACCCATGTAACTTTGTGTATGTATTTATGGGAGAATATAGTGCCACATATAACCATTTTGTTGAAGGCACATAAATTTGTAAATCTCTCGCCATTATCATTCCTTTCTCCCAGTCCATTTCGTCCTATAATATCTTCATATCCGGTGTTGTCTATCCCGACTTTGGCGTTTATGTCTCTAATTAGGATGGTCACGTCGTTTACTGGGTGCTTCTTCACGATCGACTGCAGCCTCTCATGAAACTGGTCGTTATTATCTTCATTGTTATCACTGGTGGGTGCATAGAACTGGATAACATTCATTGTGATCCCTTCATTCTGTTTTGCAGGTTACTTTGATGATTCTGAACTCATGAGACTTCCGTCTTATAGGTGGTTTTTGTGCCTCTCTGGACAGCATCAATGCAACTTCTTGTGTGCACGTAGCATTTTTTCCCTCATGACCGGAGTACAACACCTCGGGAATCTAACCATTTCTGTCCAACTCACATCCAATGGGTTGTACTTATTCCGAGAACCGCCAAGTTGTATCTTACCATTTCCATAGCTATTTGATCAATCCTCCCAGTCCCCCACATTGCCCGGACATCCCATGCGCTTATATCGATTGTCGCTCTGGTTTTCAGAAGGAGCATCGATATCGTGATTTCCGAAGAATTTCAGCTTTCATCATGAGGCGTCATAATTGTTGCAAATGAAGATCCTTGAACTTTCAGGACAGAGTTTAAATAGTTTGAATGACTTTTTCCCGTTATCGCATTTTAACAGAGTTATCCATATACCGTATATGAATACATATTTTTGATTGAGTATTTGAAAAAAATCTAAACATGTAACATAAACACGTCAGATAGTAACGACTTTATGGGACTACCAATACCAATACATTCAATATGTCCAAAGTACTTACCAACAAATGTCAACTAAACTTTGTCGGGACATGATAAAAATAATTCTTGAAATATTAGTCAAAGATATGTAGTCAAGTAGGATATCAATGGTCTTTCTCAGAGATAAATCTGTAAACAAAGAATCCAGAACGAAAGAATACACTTTTTCCTTGACATTAACATCTCATAAATAGTCAATTAGCTCAAACAAATCCCCCAGAAAATACTTACATAAGCGAATTCAAATAAAGTGCAATAGTCTTGTCAGTCCTTTCAGGATACTATGTAAAGATGACCGAAATGTGAATGCAACTGGACGTAACAGAATGTTTAAATAAACCAAGAAACATAAAAACCTCAGAATTATATTGATAGATTTATTGTTTCTGTAATGGAATATCACTCTTCCGAATTTTAGGTCATCCATGTAAAAATAAGTAACAAAACTTTGAATCCACGAGTTTCCTTGAGATTCCAGGTGAGATGTCATTACGAGTCCCAATTAGCAGGAGGTTTAGGTTTAATGTTTCCTGCCGGCAATCTCCAACAACCAAGTATCTTATTAAGCTAGTAAACTAACGAGTTTAATAACTTATCCTTGAGTAACATCAGGGACATACAGATGGAAATTTGGGATAGTGTTCGACAGTTAAATGTTAATATTAAACAAAGTAAACATTTCGTTTTCCAAAAACTAGATGAAGAAATTATTGCGCACATCGCGATCCCTATTGTAGAATCATGATCTATATAGCCATGGATACAAACATCAATGAAATAATTAATATATTACACGTCTTTAAAAATGTCTTATTATGTTCTGTGAGGTCCTACAGATTTTGCCTTCATTTACGATTTTAGTTGGACCTAATTGAAAAAGCGTGTTGAAGCAATTATTTAGTTACAGATAAGAATATTTTATTTATTTAAATACATAAATAGAGGTCGAAATGGCCGCCAAAATAAATATTAGCCACACAAGAAAATGAGATTGTGGAGAGATAGAGGAAAGTGTATATAATTAAAAAATCAATGAGTAATTGACTGAGAGCCATAAATACCAGGAGAAGCAGTCCATTCAAGAAAAATAAGACTAGGGATTCTTTGAGTAGAGAAATTCCCCCTATTTTTATGAAGCAAAACAAAATTGCAACAGAACCGTCACTGGTTTCCACTCTTAGCTGTTTCTGATGTCTCAAACCACTAGGTTGCACTATCTCAAGGACCCAAATCAGGGAGTCGTGACGATAATAGTCCTATACAACTAACCTTCATATCCCTGTACGATATCACTAACTAACCACCTATCCGCTGTCTTCTAAACAGTCACTCAGTTGGCAATTAAAACACAGTATGGAAGCCACTGCGATAACACTCATAACACCTGTTCAAGCTACAGAAGCCGGTGCTTCAAGATGGAAACAAACATTGCCGGACCTCATTATTACTAACACATCGTTGTCACTGATTGTCAGCAATCCTTCAGAAACAGCGGTGATCGAACGGAGAGTCGTCTAACATCTTCAGCTCGGAGAGGCTGAGTTTCAGTAGCATGGAACAATGAGTAATTGACTGAGAGCCGTAAATACCAAGAGAAGCAGTCCATCCAAGAAAAATACGACTAGGGATTCTTTGAGTAGAGAAATTCCCCCTATTTTTATGAAGCAAAACAAAATTGCAACAGAACCGTCACTGGTTTCCACTCTTAGCTGCCTTAACCCGCGTGTTGTAGCCTCGATCTTTCACAGCCAGACAAACACCACGGTAGCGAAACAGATGGCTCAGGTTGGCATAAGCAGTTCTAACCTTTACTACACACAGATTAACCTTATTAGTCACACTGTGGTGTGTGCTTCTGACGTCGACAGATATAAATCGTATGTATTATTAATCGAAAGAAATACCTGGCAACAGAAGGTTAAAAAGGTCAGAGAGAACGAAAACAGAGAGTGATTGGTGTGGGAAAAAACAGTCAAGTTTGAGACAATTGATTGATATTTTGCAAATGAAGAATTTACTGTATGGTTCTCAGGTTTTACTGAGATTCCGTAATTTTGTGTTCAAGTGCATTTGGTTGAAGAACTCTGTTTATCGTTAAGGACATCAGTGGGTTATACTGATTGGAGCCCATCAGCTTCACAGATTTTTCGACTCACACTAGACTTCTTGCTATCAGTGGTTCGGACGAATTGAAAGAGATTTCGATAGTGTATAAATGATATCATGATTGGGTAAACTTTAAGAATAGGGGTAACCAACAGTCTAAATTATCCATTGCTTTTAATGATTCGAAAAAATAAAGTCCTGAACAACCCGAGTTAATAATAAATGATTTCGGTAAAATAGCCAAACTAATGGAAATTTATCCTTTATTTTCCTTAGCAAAAAGTATTTAATTATTTTGATTCACGTAAACTGGGAAGATATCTTTAGTTTTGGTGTTGTTTTCAAAATACTACCAAATATGAGGAATCCTGGTGTTTGAAGTACAACCATAGATTACAAAACATACAAAGAAATTTTGCTGAGTTCTCCCGAAATTCGTTACACTTCATTAACTTGCTGATTAGTAGTTTTCAGAGACTGTAGGACGAGACAGTTTGGTCATATTAAAAATCCTTTTAGTAAGTTCCAAATATAATTGATATAGATCGAACATCCACTATCAGGTTTAAGTTTTAAGGTTTGGTGAGATTTCTTGGCTTTGTGTTGTAAGTATATGGCTCTGCCGTTTAATAATTACTACTTATAGGCTATTCACATAGTTTTAATGATTTTATCAAAAGCCAGTTGGAATCATAGAACAAGCGAATGATTGAAATTTCTAGTCCGATACATATTTGCAACTACTTAATTTAAACTTACTCTGCGACTTTTTCTGTAGGAGTCCAAGACGAATGGTTGGCATTAGGCATCCACTTTCTGTTCATTGGAGTATCTAAAGTTGCTCTAAAATAACAGACAAAGTTAGATCATTCACTTAAACAAAGTAAAACACACAGGTTACTTTATAATAATTCGAAATGTAAATCGTGAAATTGACAGATTATCAACCTACATTTAATCATGAGAATCAGCACTAGCCCAAGCGTTGATCATAAAATACATGGTAATTGCAAACTAAGCTAATACACTGTGGTATGAACATAGGGATTTACAGACCGACATTGATCACTATGTTGTTCAGCTTTCACATAGCCACAAGGAGTAAAGTTGTAATGCGAAACTGAGCCATAGACAGAGAAACTAAACACCTAAGAGGTAGGTATTTGTAAAAAATCGTTGGTAGACCTACAAACGATGTAACCGTCCTCTGAATATATTTGCCACAGAGGCATAGATAACACTAATCTGGTACCTGGTTATATGAACAACTTATGGAAATTGTAAAGAACTGTTAGTAATCAAAGGTGATCTCAAATCATCGTTCCTATCAAACCGCATTTCTGTTAATAAAATGATAACAATTCACGAAGTGGTAGACATTGCTGTACATATATAGAATTATTGAGTACGGGAAAAAATTATCTGATATGCATGTACATGAAGACTCAAAAAGATTGAGTCAATAAACTCGAATTAGAACATATTAGCCTATGTGAGATACGCCGATGATTTGGAAGCAGCTACCAAAATCAAAAAATTGGAAGTGTGATTTATATCTACTACCAACCCTACATCAATGAGGCACTATTTGATATCAGACTTGAATGGGGAAAAGTAGGTTCACATAATTTCTTTCCTGACAATAAGAACATATGAACAAAATGATAATTTCTGAACCACTTCTGACCACACAATACTTTATGGTTAGTCTGTAACCTTTAACCTCAGTGATTTCAGCCTACATCATCCAGATTGATTAATAGGCATAAATGTTCACTTAACCATAACCACTATTTAGAGTTCAGAATAATCACTTCAGAAAAATAAGAATCTTTACCTCACTAAGAAAGCTATATCCAGTATTATCTAATATGAGCAACTGAAAATAACTTACGGCGAGATAGCAAGCACACAAGAACCATTCGGAAGCCCACTGTTTTGACCTGCCAAACTTTTTGTAAGCTGATGTACTGCAGCCTTAGCCATGCCATAACCCAACATAGCTACAACACACCAAAAAAGACTACGTATAAAACTAAGGACAAATGTTGAAACCCGGCATACAACTGATGGACGTAACTGTGAATTAAGAATGGATTATATTACAACTACCGCTTTACTGAAGAATTAGACCTAATATATCTATACTACTCGAATTTTTTACCAGTGGTGAAGTATGACTACTAAACCATCGTGATAATACCAACGGACTGTCCTGATAGTACAAAGAAAAGGGACACAATCAATTAGTTTACGAGGAAGCTTATAACAAGTATTTGATTATGAATAACGTTAAAGGTGATCTTGGGTACAGTTTGTCTTGATGGAAACTATGAGGCGATGGCAGATAGTTTCTATAGCATTAGTTCTAAATCTTTGTTCATTTGACACTTGCATTCCCACACCGCAAATCTTCGTGATAAAAAATAATGTGGTCTAGGTTTACTTTTACGAATTCTTTGCTTAAACGTCTAGAGCGAATTGCAGAGACTCATGAGCACAATATCAAACACCTGCGAACACTTTTGAAAAGTCAATGAGAGAAACGCACTGTATAAACAAGTATCTTTAGAGTGTATACAATAAAGTTTGATACAAATGAGAGGTTTGGTACACAATACGAAATAAAATCACAGTGGAAAATCATTCAACTGACTCATGAACTCAGCTAGTAAATTACCATAATATTCACAAAAACCCCTTTCTGAGAATAATGGAAGTGTCAGTACAGTTCAGATAGAGACCCTATTAAGATTTGAAACCGTATGTAACTGTTGATGGGAGACAAGAAAATGGCAAAAAGTCACTAACATATACTCTCGTCTGTTCGGCACTGTCACAACACAAAGTTGGACGACTTATAAGGACATCTTACATTACATCACAGAATAACGAAAGAAGACTCCCACCATTTTCAGTACATATCTGATACAAAATAAAACGACCGTTGGCAAATAGCATGTCCTGAACACTAACAAGTTCTGTGAAGAAAGCAATGGAAACTAAAGCATTTGCATTCTAAAAGAAATTAAGTCTGCTTTCTACAAATTTTCCCTTAACACACCTTATACAATATGGAACCAACATTTGATCCAAAAGCTGTAACACACTTCAATCCCGATTATTGTCACAATGTTTAGATCATTTTAGACTGACTAATAATTAGTTTTGGCGACAAAATCTCGGATTTAACACATCGTTTGCATTAGAACTGATGTGTAACAGTAAGTCTGGAACTGCTGTTCTACACACAAATGTTTTTAAAGGGGTTGGGGATAAATTAACAGCAAAACATAGGCGTAACTACTTGGAGTGGCTTGTAAAGCAGCATGTGCGCCGGTAAGGACTAGTAGGCCACTGGCTAAAAGATACTTTGACGCCAACGCGGCAGCAATAGACGAGGACCAAACACACTTTTTCCACATTGCATCACAGTTCTCCAAAAAGTCTAGGAATTAAGTGAATAAGTTATAGTATTTTTCATATACCATGGCTAGCAGCACTCCCACCGACCCATCCACCTGCAACACAGAATATTCCATCAACTTTTCGACCGCTTAGAAACGTATCTAAACCATTCTTCACCACTCTTTCTTGGGTAGAACTACTCTCCGAAACTTCAATAACAATATTTTCATCAGCATCAGAATTCTCTTGGAAATCGACAGAGCAAACCCACTAATGGTTACAAAACCAAGTGACTTACGTAACCTTTATTTTTAAAATGTTTGACGCAAACAGATCCCAAACACCCACGACCGCCGTACAACAGCACGCGCTTATAGGACATCAGACTAAAACCAAAACAACTAACAGTCAACACGGCACGGTTTAAAAGTTAGATCCTTTCGAATGTGCCCGATCTTTCGTTTCAACGACCTTGAACGGCTTGACTAAAGATTCAGATTCAGATTTGTGTAGTAAGGACAGAAGGCCTACGGCCTATGTTATTCCTTTTCTAGTATGCTTCTGTGAGTGTCCAGTCTTCTCTTGAAAGAGTCAATTGAAGGTGCGGATACCACTGCTTCAGGCAGCAGGTTCCAAGTATTGATGACTCGGTGTGAAAACCTGTATGCCAGAGGTATTTTGTTCGTTCTTGGCTTTTCTACTCGCCTACTATGTCCTCTGAGGTGTCCCGATCTAGTGGGAAGAAAGAGAGAGAATAAGTTAGGTCCGAAATCATTTCTCAGTATTCTGTACATCAATATTAGATCTCCCCTTAGTCTGCGATAGGACAGAGTAAAGAGGTTCAGTTTTTCAAGCCGCTCTTCATATGATAAACCCCGGAGTTCCGGAATCGCACGCGTAGCTGCCCTCTGTACCTTTTCTAGTATGTCTGAGTCACCTTTTAAACAGGGGCTTGCAGCCTGAACACAGTTCTCTAACTTAGTTCTCACTAAGGATGTGTATAATGTGGTGAACATGGTAGTATCAAGCTTAGTGAATGTCCTTTTTAAAGCCCAGAGGGTTCGAAACCCCTTAACTGCGACCTCCCGGCAATGGGCCGTCGTCTTAAGATCATTGCTCACTGTCACCCCTAGGTCCTTATGAGACCGGACTACGGGTAATGACACATCTCCTATGTTGTACGTATTAACCTTTGAATCCCCCAAGTGCATGTAGACACACTTTTCCGAGTTGATAGGCATTAGCCACTCTTTAGACCAGTTTATCATATTATTTAAGTCCGCCTGAAGAGTAAATGTGTCTGTGTCTCCAGTTATTACTCGCCAAATTTTTACATCGTCAGCGTATAATAACATTGGAGACTGTACTATACTTGTAAGATCATTAACGTACATTATAAAAAGTAAAGGACCTAGGACGGAACCTTGGGGTACTCCACTAAGTACTGGTCTCCAGATGGAGCACTTGGAATTTATTCTTACTTTTTGCCTACGACCTACTAGGAAATCCTTAATCCATTTTAAAAGAGGTCCGGCAATACCAAGGTTTGCCAACTTCAATAGCAGTCTATTAGTTGGCACCTTGTCAAAAGCCTTACTGAAGTCTATGTAGACAACATCCACTGAGTTTCCGTTGTCTAGCGCATTAATCCAGAGCTCCCTAGCTATAAGGAGGTTCGTTGTACAGGATAGACCCTTTCTAAAACCATGCTGTGCCATGTTCAGCAAGTTATTGGTTTCCATAAATGCTGTTATGGTCCGTTTGATTATCCTTTCCAGTATTTTAATAACAACACTGGTGAGGCTTACGGGTCTGTAATTTGATGGAACTTGTCGTAGACCAGTTTTATGTATGGGAGTGACGATTGCGTCCTTCCAGTCCATAGGTAACACACCTTGGTCAAGTGACATTTTGAATATCACAGTCAGTGGGGCTGCGATATATTCGGCAATATGTCTCAAGATTTTAGGGTGTAGTTCATCTGGTCCTGTTGACTTCTCCATGTTTAGGGTGCTAAGAGCCTTAAGCACATCGTTTTGGTCGAAGTCCACGGTGAGCAGCTGGTTTGTTGACTCTGTAATTGGGTCTGGTTCTTTCTCTAGAGGAGGTTCCTGAGTGAAAACTGCCCCAAAGGCGGTCATTCCGTATTTCAATTGCCGTGGGTTGGTTGGATTGCATGACATCTATGTTCACCGTCACCATAATCAAGGAGGTGAACAATATATAATGAGTTTTACGACTTATTTTCATGAAAACTCAATCCGTGATCTATTTTTGACTAGAAAAATTGTATGTTTTACTTGTTTGACTTTGTATTGTTAAAAATAACCATATTACGCTAACTACAGATTTACTTAGGTGGTGAGCAAGAAATACTTCAAACTGCTAATAAATTGGAATAAAAACTATATAGCAAGCACAAGCATTACGAAAATTCACGTGTGACGGAAAAAAGGTTGTTAATAGCTGATAAATAACGACACAGAAAATCCACCACAATATGTTACATGTGAGCGAAAACCCGTGACTTAGCAGGCAGAGTGTGCCGTCAACACGAGTGTGACAATTTGAACTTACGACAACCTTCAAACGGTTGTGGACGGAATAGAAGAAGTTTTTAGCTCAACAGGCTTCCACGTCTAGTAGCAGGGGATCACGAATACCTCCAGGCAGGAACCTAGGTATGTTAAAGATAAAAGAGGAAAACGAAATTGGTAAATCATAGTATGATACTATCCTTAGACCTTAAGAATATATCAAGTTGCCTCTTAAAGGACTCCTGGGAAGTCGCTTGGACTAGCTCGGCCGGCAGAGAATTCCAGCATTCGACAACTGTAAAGGAGTAGAAGTTGTGCCTACCGTCCGTTCTGTTATGTTGTGTCTTCGATTTCTGGGTGTTACCCCTTAGGTTGGTATTGGGACTAAGCTTAAGTAGTTGTTTAAGGGGATGTCCAGAAGTGTTAGGGATACTGTAAGCCATTGGAAGGTCACATCTAAGACGCCTATACTTTAATGGGTAAAAGTTAAGTGATTGGAGACGCTCTCCATAAGATTTGAATTTGAGTCCCCGAACTGACTTCATGGCTCGCCGTTGGATACACTCCAGATTGTCCTTATCCTTCTGGAGTGAGGGAGGAAATACTATATTTCCGTACCCCGAATGGGTACGGACAAAATTGTTAAAGATTATATGGAAATTTCTACCGTCAAACTGGCCAAAAATGCGCTTCGATGTTACCAGTGCAAGTTTTGCTCGAAAGGTATTTTTGTCACAGTTAGCGTAAGACTTTAAATCGTAGGGCATCAGGACTCTTAAATCTTTTTCCACTCGGGATACTAGTAGAGAGGAGTTTCTCAAGTTGTAACTATAGTCTGCAACATGTCGCAGATGGACTACTTTACACTTTGAAATCTTAAAGGTGATTCCGCTATTGTCTGCCCGACTTTGAAGTCGAGTCAGACTCCCCTGAAGTGCTTGTATATCGTCTTCGTTGCGTATCTCTCTCTCCAAAGTTTCACGTCATCGGCAAAAAGTAATAAGTCTGGCGTAACCTGTTGAAGGAGATCATTTATATAATTCAAGAAGAGAAGGGGTCCTAGTACTGAGCCCTGTGGGACTCCACTAGGACATTTCATAGCCTGAGATAAAGTGAGGTTAACCCTGACCTTAAAATGTCGATTTTTCAGATATGAAGTGAGCCAATCAATCAGAGGTGGTCTGACACCCAATCGTTTGAGCTTATTGACAAGACATATGTGGTTAACCCTATCAAAAGCTTTTGAGAAATCAAGGTAAATGATATCAACCTTCCACTTGCGATCGAGAATGCTTGTGCATCTGTCCACCGCAGTCAGCAGGTTGGTTATACAAGACTAATCCTTCCCGAAACCATGCTGTTGGGGTGAGAAGAAATTTAAGGTCAGTAAATAGTCCTGTATACAATCGCGTATCAGGGACTCTATGATTTTTGAAGGTATAGAGAGAAGAGCCGCCGGTCGGTAACTTGAAGGTCCTTTGCATCGACCTCCCTTGAAAATTAGTGTGATGTGAGCCAGCTTCCAATTTTCCGGTAGTTTTCCTCGACTTAGCGAGTGTGAGAACATCACGCTAAGCGGTGTTGCCAGGATTGAGGCTGCTTCCCTCAGTATAGCAGAACGGACCATATATGGGCCTGGAGAAATGTCTGTTTTTAGACGCTACGGTTCCCGGAACACCAAGTCAGCGCTCAGGTTCACTACGGAAAGTCCTATGCAGTTGCAAATGAAGCTGTTCATAGTATAGCTGATGTGGGTTGGTTGAAATGTCCGAGAGTATTGTTCAGCCTAAAGGTTATCGGCGTCGCCGTCGTTATTGGTCGGGCCGTTAGGACCTAGAAGTTGGGAAACTCCAGTTTTGGCTTGACGAAGAGAAACTGCATAACGGAATAAGCTTTACGGATTAGAGACAAATTTATCTATAAGCTTTGTCTGGTACTGAAGCCTTTCTCTTCTTATAGCCTTTGTGCATATGTTCCTGATATGCTTATATTGCCTGTACGCTCCGTCGTTGTCAGTTCGTCTGTATTCTGCCCAACAGCTCGTTTTTCGGCTTAGCAGGCGAAGAGTGCAGTTCTTGATGACTGTAGGTTGCTTGTAGCTTTTGGGGACCGTTTGAGGAACTGACTGCTTTGTAGCACATGAGAGCGTATGCAGTTAGAAGTCACAATGAGTATCCACATCGAGTTGAGGGTGAACATCCCAATCCACCTGTTGTAGATAGTCTTGTAGAGCTGACACATTCAACCGTTTGGAATTCCAGCGGATGATGTTGAGATAACTCTGCTCACTTTTGCTGACAAAACTGGAAGCTATAACGGCGTGATCGCTTTTTCCCAAGGAAGCCAGGATTGAGAGGTTTTCAATTGGGAAGTCTTCATTTGTAAATAGACAGTCTAAGCGCGACGGTGTCTGACTGTTTCTCCAACGAGTTGCCGACTTCACATTTTCGTATAGTCCCGAATCCTCAATGAGGTTGAAGAACCGAGCTTCAGTTGAGTTTTCACCTCCAATATGCGTATGTTCCGCCAAATTTACTCTAGGGAGATTGAAGCCCCTAAGAATCAGGATATGAGTGAAACCGAGATGCGTAGAGCGGGAGAGTCCCTCCAGTCATACTCGATGTCGGCCGTGGGCTTCCTATAGATAACCCCGACTAGGCACCTCGAAGTAGTAGACAATCTTACAGAGCACCATATGGATTCCTCAAGATTGTTAAGCTCGAGGTCATGAACTTGGTGTACCTCCAAGCACATCGTATGTATACGGCTACTCCACCCCCAATTCTTGTTTTCCTGTCGTTGCGAAACAAAGACATCCCAGGTATTGCTAGCTCCTGGTCCGAGA